AATCATTCAGATGTTCATTGGCAAACTTCAGACGGGCATGTATATGTGCTTTCTTGAGCAGGGGGACCATGCGGGTGCTGTAGGATTTCAGTCCTTCACGGCGTAGTGTGTTACCAACTGTTTTCTTGGTGACTATGGTCCCAGCTGCCTTGAGATCATTGATAAGATCATCCCGTGTAGTTCTGGGCTGATTCCTCACCGTTCTCATGATCATTGCAACTCCACGAGGTGACATCTTGCATGGAGCCCCAGGAGGGAGATTGACCGTTCTTTTGTGTTTCTTCCATTTGCGAATAATCGCACCAACTGTTGTCACCTTCTCACCAAGCTGCTTGGCGATGGTCTTGTAGCCCATTCCAGCCTTGTGTAGGTCTACAATCTTGTCCCTGACATCCTTGGAGAGCGCTTTGGTCTTGGCCATGGTGGAGAGTTTGGAATCTGATTGATTGATTGCTTCTACGAACAGGTGTCTTTTATACAGGTAACAAGCTGAGATTAGGAGCACTCCCTTTAAGAGTATGCTCCTAATCTCAGCTCGTTACCTGTATAAAATACACCTGGGAGACAGAATTATTTCTGATTGAGAGGGGGTCAAATACGTATTTCCCTCATTAAAATGCAAATCAATTTACAACATTTTTGACATGCGTTTTTCTGAATTTTGTTGTTCTGTCTCTCACTGTTCAAACAACCCTACCATTAAAACTATAGACTGATCATTTCTTTGTCAGTGGGCAAACGTACAATATCAGCAGGGGATCAAATACTTTTTTCCCTCACTGTATATGTAATCAAAATGCAAGGGCGTACCATGTTGAGAGCTACAATTATACGTGTGCGGATTATCCAGGTTGTGGATTAACCATACACATGTGCACGTGATTCTAGCAACAACAACAACTGCCATTCGCCACAAAGTGGCGGTGACATCACCACGACGCTTGTGACAGGATGTGCACCTTGAGGCAACGGGAAGTGTCGAACGCCTGCTGGCAGGAGGTCACGGGGCAGACCCAGATGCCACAGGTCAACTGACTGAGACGACTGGCTGATGCACCACCTGTGCCCCCTACTGTGCCAACTTGCTTTGCTTTAGTCACCCGGCGCTCTGCTCGTTGTTGTGAGCATCGCTTCTCCACCCTCCATCGTTGTTGGAGGGCGACTGTCTCCAACTGCCCAGTAGCGGTCCTTCACGAGCCTCCTCCACAGAGGTCGATCTTGATACCGCTGGTACCAGTCATTGGCAAGTCCACTCAGCTCCACATCCACCTGTACCACATCACTCCATGTCTTCTCTAGCCCGTGCCGTGCCCGTTTAGCCCCCTCATTCCGGCCGAACAAAAGCTGTTTAGGCATGCGGTGGCTGGGCATGCGGGCTACAAGGCCCAGGCAACGCAGCCTTGACTGCCGGAGGAGCTCACTGATGGGACTTTATCCATATCTTTCAAAGATTTGTGAGCTCACACAATCCAGCATGGTTAAACCCAGGATTGATCGTAGGCAGGCCAGCCTAAATGTTTCTAACCGGCGAAGATGTTCCATTAGGGGGTCCACGTTTCGCAAGCGTAGAGAAGGGAGGTAATGACTATACTCTTTGGTTCTTTTGTTAAAGTCACGTAGGTATAAAATAAAATATATCACGACGTTTCGGGCGCAACACAAAGAGTATGGATTCCTGCAGTCATGAAAGCTTCAAATCAAGATTGAGGTAATGACTGGCCGAGAAGACCTGAAGCTTCATGCGGAGCAACAGACCAGGTTGCTTCCACACAGCGTTACGCAACCGATGAAAAGAATGGCGCGGTTTCCTGGTGCCAGGAGATTTGCCGACCCTCGCAGGACACGTTACATTGCGATGCCCCTAAAATGGGTTTAAAAATTGTGTAGTGAGTCCAACTGAGTCGCAGATGTTGTCTTGGGAGCAACACTTTATATCACCAACTCAACATTATGTAACACAACCTACACTTGGGTGTTGAATGCCCATCTAGCCACGCTACGGCAGAACTAGACACAGTTCGCTATCCCGGCCCGGACCACAAGCTGGGTCCCGGACCGCGTGGCTTAGAGGCTTCTTTAACCCGACGTGGATCTTTAACAGCAACCCGAAAAAACCCGAGCCCCTCACGGGGCCCCCGTTATATTGGCCTGGGTTGGGGCTGGCTCCGTCCCTCGTCCCGCCCACCTTCTAGATCTCTCGAGCTCTTTCCCAAAGGCTCCCGAGAGCTCTTTTATGCCACATGACCGCCCAGCTGCCACCGTATCGGCAGATCAACGTATCATGCCCCAACGAAACCCTGTCTGGCTGCCATTTCCTCTCGCTCCCTCATCGGGAGCCCGCACCGTACACTGTACGTGGTGCCTCCACGCTGAATCGCTGTATGTGTGTACGTCGATATGTGTGTGTAACTTCATGTGTGTGTATCTGAAGTGGATGTCTATGTGTGTGTGAGTCCATATATGTGTGTGTGTAAGTCGATGTGTTTGTGTGTGTGAGTCGATGTGTTTGTGTGTGAGTCGATATGTGTGTTTGTCAGTCCATGTGTGTGTGTGTCTTAGTCGCTGTGTGTGCGTGGTTCCATGTTAGTGTAGGTCCTTTTTTTTGCGTGTCTGTAGGTCCATTTGTGCGTGTTAGTCCATGTGTGTGCTTTATTGACCTGGTCAAGGCCTATGATACCATCAGTAGGCCTGGGCTCTGGGTTGTTCTTCGGGCTTTCCGAGTTCCTGACCCACTGCTCACGGTCCATAAGGACCTTCATGATGGTGAGCAGCCCCGTGTCAAACTACGTGGCCGTGAGTCAGAACCATTCCCTCTACACCTTGGGATGCGACAGGGATGTCCTCTCGCTCCCACATTATTTTACATATATTTGGACCACGTCGTTCGTGAAGCCTTCAATGGCTGTACCAGAAAAATTGCCATCTGCTACAGATACAATGGGAGGCTGATCGATGCCCGGGTGCGGTCAAGGGATGGCTCCCTATTGCTCAACCACGTTATGTATGCCGATGATCTGGTAATTGCTGCTCACTCGGAGGAGGAGTAGGAGGTGCTGCTGCTAAACCTGGAGCTTGTCACCAAGAGGTGGGGCCTTACCATCAGCCCCACCAAAACTAATCACCTGCCTGGGTATTTTGTACCATCAGACACTCCACCCCCACAACTCCCAATTGGTGATAGGACAGTTGTGGAGAGAGTGGAGAGTTTCCCATACCTTGGCAGTGTACTCATGACCGGCTTCGGTTTAACGGCAGAGGTCTCACTCCCAATCAGTCGAGTAGCATTATCTTTTCATCAGTTGCGTAACGCTGTGTGGAAGCTACCTGGTCTATCACTCGGCACGAAGCTTCAGGTCTTTTCGGCCACGGTCATTACCTCCCTTCTTTACGCTTGCGAAACGTGGACGCGCCGAATGGAACATCTTCGCCGGTTAGAAACATTTAGGCTGGCCTGCCTACAATCCATCCTGGGTTTAACCACGCTAGATTTTGTGAGGAGCTCACAAAGCCTCGAAATATGTGGACAAAGTCCCATCGGTAAGCTCCTCCAGCAGCCAAGACTGCGTTGGCTGGGTCATTTAGCCCGCATGCCCAGTCACCGCATGCCTTAACAGCTTTTGTTCGGCCGGATCGAGGGGGCTAAATGGGCACGGCACGGGCTAGAGAAGAGATGGAGTAACGTGGTACAGGAGGATGTGGAGCTGAGTGGACTTGTCGATGACTGGTACCAGCGGTGTCAAGATCGGCCTCTGTGGAGGAGGCTCGTGAAGGACGCTACTCGGCAGTTGGAGGCAGTCGCTCTCCAACAACAACAGAGGGCGGAGGAGCGACGCTCACAACAACGAGCGGGGCGCCGGCTGGCTAAAGCACAACAAGTTGGCACAGTAGGGGGCACAGGTGGTGCATCAGCCAGTCATCTCGGTCATCTCAGTCAGTCGACCAGTGGTACCTGAGTCTTCCCCGTGACCTCCTGCTGGCAGGCATTCGACACTTCACGTGGCCTCAAGGTGCACATGGCCTGGCACAAGCGTCGTGGTGATGTCACCTAGTGGCTAATGGCGGTTGGTGGTGTTTTTTTTGTTGTGAGTCTATGTATGTGTGTGTTTGAGTCAATATGTGTGTGTAACTCGATGTGTGTGTGTGTCTAAAGTCGATGTCTGTGTGTTTGAGTCCATATGTGTGTGTGTGCGTGTAAGTCGATGTGTTTCTATGTGTGTGGGTCGATGTCTGTGTGTAAGTCCATGTGTGTGTCTGCCTTTTTCGCCCGGGCAACGCCGGGTACTTACCGCTAGGACGTTATAAGGTCGCATTCTTTACATACAAAGTGTTTCTCATAAATGATCCAAAATTCCTCGCTGATCTCGTCAAACAGCATAAACCATCCCGTGAACTCTGGTCATCCTCATAGCGGCGTTTGGCTGGCCATCAAACAAAGATGGTCACTGTATCACATGTGTTTAGATGCGCTTCTGCAGCCGTCTGGAATGCTCCTCCAGATATTAGGAAGCCACTGGAACTATGCACTTTTAAATCCAGATTGAAAACTCATCTTCTTTAGAGCGTCTTTTAATGTTTAGTTTGTTGTCCTTCCCCCGCACCTCCGATTATTATGGATTGGCTAAGTTTGGTCCAAAAGAAGTTCAACATAATACATAATCTACATACTTTGTGAGGAATCCATAATTAATAATAGTGCTTGGGATTATTGATCTCGATGGAACAGGCCTTAGAGAATACGAATGTTATATTGGGAGTAAACAACAGCCAATAGAGTTTATGGAGATATTAGTGAATTGTCATATATAAGGAGAGGATACTCTTTGGTTCTTTCGGTAAAGTCACGTACATGGAAAATAAATGTTAATTAATTAATTTTAATACATTTTCTATCTACGTGACTTTACTGAACGAACCAAAGAGTATGGATTCCTGCAGTCACGAAAGCTTCAAATCAATAAGGAGAGGAGTTTACCCACACACACAAAAGTAATTGATAATAATTTTATTGATACACAATTTCAAAATCAATATCATTTTAATAGGAATATAATTCACATCTATAACAGCAATCAATAAAATGATGGATATTAGCGGCGTCAAAACGAGATTGCTGAGATAAACCCTGAGAAAAACAAACATGCATACAAAATCATATTATTCCCAACTAAGGTTCGAGAAACCTGTACCAAAGCTTCATGCACATAACTCGCCTGTAAGTGGATACTCTATAAGACCAGTGGATTCTTAACCTTTGCTGCAGCCTTGCACCACTTTGGTTCTTAATCGTAATTTTTTTTATAATGTTAATACATACATAGGGTTTGATGAAACAAGGTACGTTGCATTTACGTGCTCATGCTTCATTTGTGTTTCGATCATTTGCCTTCTAAACAAATTTGGCCATGTCTCGCACGCCCAGAGGTGCGTGCACCCCAGGTTAAGAGCCACTACTATAGATCAATGGTTCCCAACGTGCTATCTATGGACCACTGGTCATCTGCAAGGCAGTGGGAAGTGGTCTGCAGAACTATTGCAGAAATACATTTTCTTTTACAAAGCACCATATTGTTTAACGCCCATTGCACAAGCCTTTAATATATAATAAGTACAACTATATTAAAATCCAGTTCATATTTTTTATGGCTCTTCAATCAAAAAATCTCATGCCACTTTAAGGGTACATTTAATTTTGCCAAATTTTACCGGTGGTCTGTGAATCTTGTTCAAGGGTAAATACTGATCTGTAGGTCGAAAATGGTGGGGCCCACTGGTCTAGATTACAAGTGTGTGTGAAAGAAACCAACATAACCATAGACTCCGGCACGGGAATCTCACATCTTCTTCTGGGCTCTCAGGAAGAGCAGGGCCTGGTGGTCGTTGACATCATCGGGAGATGGCTTAGGCGCAAGATGCAATTCCAACTGCTGTATGATGAGGCCAGCATCGCCTACAACTTGCCGGATAACCGTCTCATCCAAGCTCAGCACATGGAAGATCTCGGAGCCCATGTGGTAGAACGTCTCGCCCAGCTCCGTGGCAAGAATGAACCATCCCCCGGGCCGCAAGAGGCGGCAAACGTGGCCCAGTGCTGCCGTGAAATCGCCTATCGATCTGCACGCTGCCTCAAAGCACAGCGTGGAGATGATGCAGTCAAAGGGGCCTTGGCTCCAGGACCTACGGAGACATTATCGTGTGGACAGGAAAAGCGGAACGTCTCAGTAATTAGACAATGGTGGAGTGGAACAATAATGAACAGGCGGTGCCTCGAGGGTGCCTTGAGCCACGTCTACTCCCACAAATGTGAATGGAGTTTGCTTTAGTTTTCCTATGGGGACAACTTACGTTTGGTCTTAATTTGGAGCTTTATTTTATCTTTATACGTGACTTTACCGAAAGAACCAAAGAGTTACGTTTGGTCGTCATGGACTATGGGGCGGAGCTATTTTCTTCCGTCTTGGACAGTGAGGGCGTAGTTTATTGTTACCAAACCATCTTGAGCACGATCATCTTTGGCTACACTAGTTCATTAGTTAGTAAAGTGCCGAAGCTACAGGCTTAGTGCAGCCTGGAAGCGTATTATTATTATATAAAATATGTATTACAATTCCTTACAGGAGAAACACATACTAATTAATAACAATTCAATAATTACCAATCTATAAAATAATTACAATACCCTCCCCCTCTCTGCCTCAAATCACTGCACCAGATTGGGTTAAATGATAACGTCACCCTGCTGCTCTATTTAAGACCGGGAGCAAGTGGAGGACTTCACCATTCTGACAAATTGCCCGATGATGCTGGATGTAATTACCAGCGAAACGTCGTACTCAAAATTTGAAAATTATGTTGAATCACTCAACAAACCGGTGGGCTAAAGTAGTGAACTATTTGTCTTTTGTAAACGTGACACATTGTTTTACTGTTTGGCCTTGTCGGGTGGTGGAGGGTTACTACATATTTATAAATAACGCGATCTAACCCAAAAAAGTTTATTATGAATAATATGGGTCGCGAAAGCCTACGTGTTAAATAGATGTACTAATGTCAGATATGGCAATTATTCACAACTGCAACTAAAAAAAAAAGCTGATACTGAGTGAACGGATACAGGGGCTGAAGGATTGTGTGATACCATTGAGGGAGCGACTTTGGAGTAAAATATGGACCAAAGGGCTCTGCGGATATGCAGGAGTTTACAGACTCCCCTGAGGTTAGAGGTGAGGGCTGAGTAATGTATTTGGCTGACCTATGACCCGTAAAGATGATTTGCTTATAGCGAGGTGAGAGGAGTTTCCTGAAAGAAGGGAGCACGTGCGTTGAGCCGGTTTGTTGAGGTTCGTGGGAATGTGTTGGCATTTCAGTGGTTGAGGCCATTAATATTGTGTGAATGGACGATTACTTGCGGTCAAGTTTGCATTAGGTAGAGGGTCGGATTGAGTTGCCAACAATTGTTGACCGAAGGATTCCCACTGATGGGGTATTTGAACACTTGGTCTACTTGGGCCTCTCGAATGCCAAATAAAGTTTACCTGATGTATTGATTTTTTTTTCAGGATGACTCACCATTGCCACACTGATCTGCACGCGTTGAGATGTGTACAGGAACTCACCCGAGCAGTGGGTCTTCCTGGTTGACGTCACAGGGCAGCACGGCGCGCACCGCCTTGCGCACGTGCACCGATTTCTCCTCTACCGTTTTTCTGCAGGCAGACACCACCATCGTCGTGTTAAAGCCGGCATGGTTTTTGGAGTTGTGAGCGGCGATTTAATAAAATATATTAATTGAAGCAACATGAAAACTTGTTTTTTCACTGTTTTTTGTGTTTAGTTTGTTGTTCTTCCCCCGTACCTCCGATTAGGATGGCTGGCTACGTGCCATGGTTGGCTACATGCATACATTTGTATTTCATCAGGAGGGACAACGAGATGTCTTTACCTGCTACTAAATACAAATAACTGCAGACCCTGCACCTCTGTTGTAATACAAATAATAATTATTTCCACTTAATTACCCAAGACAAGCTCAGTCTCAGGAATGTTTCAGTTTTTAGGGTAGGGGACGATGTGTAACCTGCAGGTATTTTTTTTACTGTTGGGATGTTTGGCCAATACCGGTTAAATTGGTAGTTTTTTTTAGCTGGAGAAATAATGGACTTCTACCCTCCATATTAAAGGTATGTAGAGTTAATGTCATGTTTATTTATGTGGTATTATGTTATCGTGTAATTTACTGTATTTTGTTCGTGTTTATTGAATAAACAGGCAACTTAGTTAAGCTATGACGAGTCTGATTGCGGCTGTGGTTCCCCTAACCCCCTATTTTCCATAAGCACCTGTACTTTACCAACCGCGGATTTGCCTACCCCCGCGGTTGGCGAGGGATTTCGGTACATTGGTGTAGATTTCATGTTTTTGTGATTATATGCGTTTCATTATTTAGCGGGATCTCCAGGTATAGCTGTCTGAAATGTTAGCACATCCGCTCCCCGGCTCATACCATCGGATTTGCACATGCGGTCTAATCCTATTTTCCCTTTTTTGGCTAACTTTCTTGATGTATGTGTAGAGGAGTAGAAGAGAGTAGTGGCGTCATGTGCGCTGTGATGGCGTCACGGGACGTGGGGTCATGTGCACTGGACAGCGCACATGACGACACAGCTCCTCGAGGATAAAGGGGGGACCCCGTGACGTAAGCGGGGTCGTAGCTGGAGAGTAGGGTCGAAGTAGGGTGGAACGGGGGGAGCCAGGGGCAAGAGGGGAGGAATAGGGGATAGTACAGCATCAGGGCTGGACGTGGCTGTGCTACTCGGTCGGCCATGTTGGCTGATCCCACAGGCACAGGGCAGCCGGTTGTGTCGGGACCGAGTGGGACCTAGCCCGGGATCCCTAACCCCTGGGAAGTGGTCCCCCCCCCCCCCCCCGTGTGTTGTGTAGCCCTTAATAAACGGCGAAAGCCCTTAACCTTACCTCCGTTTCTGAGTGAGTCGTCGCCAACTCTTCTACATATGTGTAATGACGCCCACACATGTTCTTACTTTATTAAGAGCCTTTATTATGGACACCAACACTTTTTTTAGGCCCAGACTTCGGTTCTTGATGCACGAACTTCGTCTTCTCTCCAACCGTCCTTCCCCTTGTGCTATCCCCTTTTATATCCATCGAACGCCCTTTCTGGAAGGTTCGCTCACCCCCATTTCCCTCAGCCAATCCCCGTCCTCATCCAATGGGTGTCAACCGTTTCCCCAACAGTCAACCCTTATTTCCTGCCTTTTATGTTTGAATTTCTCTCACAATCATTTCAATTACTTGTCCTTAGCCAATCCTCTTTGAGGCCTCCCTGCACCAATCAGAGGCCTTGACACACTTACGGACTGTCCGTCTGCACGTGTATCATGTGAGGTAGGTGGTCTGTTTTTGGTCTACATATGTATGAATATCTTTTGCGCCATACGTAGCCAACCATGCTAATCGGAGGTGCAAACTGATTGAAGGTGTAAATAAGATGGTGTTGTAATGTTAAGATGGTGTTGTAATGTTGGCCTTCTATCTGGCATGGCACTGAGATATTTGGGGCTATACATTATTATCTGTTGGCTCGCTCCAGAGAGTGACATATCTTCAATAGGCTATTACAAAACACTGCACCTCTCAAGGATTTTATGTAATTGTTTTGGTCAGCATTTTACTAGCAGGCAGCTAATAGAGAAGATCCGGGCATACAACACAGAAACCGCCATGGAGCACGCATAGCGAACAGCAGTACCTGTGTCCTTCGAGCCGGCACACAAACTCTATCGTCTTCGTCCAGTCAAAGGCGTCGGGGGAGCGACAGAGCCAGCTCTGCAGCTCTTCCCGGTTGCTCTGCGCATAGTCGGAGAGGTAGATCTCGGGGAACCACTCGGACGCGCTCAGCACCTGGTGAATGGTGGGGCCCGATCCAACGTCCAGGAGGCGCTGACCTCTGATCTCGCCTGGCAAAACAACGGAAATGATGAAAATGGTGGAAACGTCATTTTGAAGACTCGATAATAACAACAATAAAAATTAGATAAATTTTAAACAGCTAAATAAAGATGCGCCACCAGATAAAATGTTACAATTGGAGTTAATTGTATGTGTAATGACAATAGAGCCTGCATGCGATCTGAGGGGACTAGTGGCCACGGGAGGTAATGACAGGGGTACCAGTTGTGACTGGTGGCTACCGGAATGATCGAGAAGGGGGGCGTGGCCTCGTGTTGATATATAAGGGAGATGCGTGGGAGACTCGGGGCTGTTGCAGTGGGGTCTCAGCCTGATGTCAAGTGAACGTGTCTTCAATAAAGTGCCATCTCAAGAGAAGTGTGTCAAGTCGTCATTTCATATGTATGTTGAACCTGTTTCGTACCGTACATAGCCAACTGGGTTAATTCAGGTGCGGGGGAAGGACAACAAACTAAAACACAAAAAGCAGTTCTAAATAAATTAGTTTTCAATCTAGATTTAAAAGTGCATAGCTCCAGGGCTTCCTAATATCAGAAGGAAGAGCATTCCAGACGGGTCCAAAAGCGCATCTGAAAAGGTGCGATGCAGTGACCGTCTTTGTTCGATGGCTGCCTCGTTTAGCATCGCAACTGACACTTGTAACTCTCCTGTATTTGCCAGCCTTGTCATATGAAAATATGATTCATCTTACTGTCATACGATCATTCCTTCCATTACGTTTTCCCAAGCTGATATCATCATCTCGACATGATTGTTGAAAAGTGTTGGGGATAATGTGCACCCATGTCGCAATGCTAATCCAATTATTGTATCCTCAAATCTTTAGATATCTGTACTGTTGCTATTTGACCCATGTACAAATATACAATCAGGCATTTATCTTTCCAGTCAACTCTGATCGTTAGAGTATGGCAGGCAAGATATTCAATGGAATGCTCTTTCAATATCAATTAAACAAATGTAAACTTGTGGTAAATGCCAAGCTCCTTACAGAGATTGTTCTCATTCTTGAAATTGCTTATCTTGAGACGTATCCCTTTCAAAAAAACAAATTGGCCCTTTGCAATGTACCCATCTGCTTTGCTTTCAATTCTTGATTCAGTAATTTTCAGTATAACCTTCGACATGTATGATATAAAGCTAATTGTTGTGAAATTTGAGCAACGCAGCCATGGCTTGGCTCAGACACCGTTAATGGGAATCCTGAGAATGGCTGTGCGCATGCTCAGAACTAGCTGAGGGTAACCCTTTCCAATTCGGATGACGTACAGGTCCATTATTTTTTCCTTCGATTTTATCCCTATCACATACACGAATGGAACCGGAAGAAAGATTTATATAAAACAACTTTATTGGTATCGACGCTCCCACAAGGCGTGTGGCACAGTTTGGTACCAGCTGCCATAGAGTATGGCGGTCATGTCGCTATGGTTATCTTTGCTGAGTACAACGTCTTTAACAACTACGGCGCTACTATGCCTCTCTAAATACAATTAATGCTGAACTGCTCGCATGTTCCGAGATTCAGCGGGTGAAATGGACGACCCACACCCTGCAACTTGCAGACGTCTTGGAACGGGAAAGGGCTAAGCATGTCTTTTTGAGCTTGGCTCACTTGAGCCAGAGCCAAGCCTGAGCCGGGCCATGACTCAGAATACAGGCTTTTGAATACTTCACCATTGTTGAAGGTTGAATGCAGGAACTGCAGGAGCTCGGGGAAGAAGTCTCTCTTGGGGGAATCCTCCGGTGTTGTATTGTAGTACGTGTCCAAATACTCCCGCGCTTTGAAGTGTGTAGCATAGTCCTGGCCATATCGCTTGGCAACGTTTTGACCTTCCATTATTGTCGATCTTTTAAAGGACAAAAATGTGGTAGTCACACATTGGGCATGCTGGTACAAGTCTGTGATTCATTGGTTTACAGGTAGGTGAACAAGAAAATGCGTTTTATGTATGTGTAATGAGATATTGACATCTACTGGTTGGAAAAGGGAAGCACGGGTACATGCATCACTATAAACATTATCCAATCCCCGAAGGGAGAGGTATCTGGGACAAAGGTAAAGAGTGGAGCCGGCCGAGAAACTCTGAGGACCGGCTAGAAAGTTCCACGAGAGGGCGTGACCGGAGTCGGGGCCTAGCCGCGCCTGCGGCAATATAAGCGGAGGCGGAGGAGGACTCGGGGTCGGTGTGGGGAGTCTTGGGTCCGGACTGCGTCACTGCTCGCCGTCATCTCTCTCCATCGTTCGGCCACGTGGCGGATCTCCTGCGGAGCTCCACCGCCCTCCCCGGCACGCCGTCAGCCAGCGGCGAGACCGGGAGCGGACGGGCGGAACCCGCCGTGTGATCAACCATGTGTGTAGTTTGTAGAATGTAATAGCTAAGTGTGTACTTGGAGAGGAAGCCGATGCCGTTGGCCTGTGCTGTGCCCGTACATGGAAAAAAGAAGAGTACCCTCTACACGACGTGTCGCGGAAGTCGCTCATTACATATGTATGTTTCGAACCGTGCATAGCAAACCCTGCTAAACAGATGTACTAGATTAATTGATGACAATTAATATCTTAATACGAGACTCTTTGGCTTTAAATAACATCCTTTGTTTACAACGTTTAAATATGAAACAATTTAACAGTAACATTCCCAGGATCAAATAGCAGTTAAAATAATAGGATTCATAATTGAGTATTTTGGGTTATCTTATTTTATTTGGCGCTTTTATCTAAGGCACTTTACAAGGATTATGAGTGGTACAATTAGAGTAAATAAAAGTTATGTGTTAAATAGGGATGAAGTATAGGGAGGGCGGTTAGTGGGTACCAGAATTACGGGGGTGCCTAGGGATGGAGGGAAGGATGGGCCAGAGAGAAGAGGTGGTGGTCTTGACAGAGGAACAGAAACTAGAGAGGGAGGGTGCTTGCTTAATGTGGAGGGGAAGTTTGTTCCAGGACAAAGGGGCAAGTAGGGAAAAGGAGCAGAAACGGTGATTGTGCACAAGGAGAGGGGGGAATGGTGAAGAGTGGGAGAGATTGAGAGCGGAGGGGGCGGGAGGGGACATAAAACGAGATGAGGGAAGTGAGGTAAGGTGGGATAAGGCCATGAAGAGATTTAAATACCAGCATAAGGAGCTTGAATAGACACCGGTAGAAGATGGGAAGCAAGTGCATTTCTATAAGGGTGGAGGTGTGGGAGCAGTGTGGTAGTTTGTAAATGAAACGTAGAGACGCATTTTGGATCTGTTGTAGTGGAATTCATCCATATGCTGGGAGACCGAGTAGGAAAGAGTTACAATAGTCTAACCGAAGGAAGATGAGTGAATGTATTAGTAGTTTGGCAGTGGACTGAATGACGAGAGGGCGTATTTTGCGAATGCTGACAAGGTGGAAACGACGAGTGCGGGTGATGGCAGAGACGTGAGAGCCGAGGGAAAGGGACGACTCAAAGAGGACACCAAGGTTGTGGGCAGAGGGGACAGGGGTGAGTGAGAAGGGTGGGAAGGTGATGGTGGGTACAGAGGAAAAAGAGAACCTGAGTTTTCGAGGGGTTTATGGCAAGTAAGTGAAGCGACATCCAAGACTGAAGGGCAGTTAGGCAGGCTGAAATGCGGGAAGAGAGGTCCGGAGAGAAAGTGGAGAAAGAGAAGAATACTTGGATGTCGTCGGTGAAGAAGTGGTGGGAGAAGTAAAAGGAGGAGTGTTTCGAGAGGGGAGATGTAGAGATAGAAGAAAAGGGGGCCCAGGACAGAGCCTTGGGGAACACTTGTTGTGACGGGTGAAGGAGGGGTGCAGAAGTGATTGAAGGAGACCGAGGATGAGCATGAAGGGAGACATTAATGGAGCCAGGATAAAACAGTGCCGGAAATGCCCAGATTAGAGGTCAGGGGTCGGCAACCTGCGGCTCCGGAGCCGCATGCGGCTCTTTTGGCCTCCCCCTTGTGGGAAGCCGATACAAAAAACGGAAATCACTTCATTCGGTTCCTTACACTCTGAAGTGTAGCACGGGCGTTCCCCACTTTTACGACACAACACGATCCCTGAAACCACGTCTTAAATAGGACCCTACTTTCCCATAGACGCAATGTTCCTGTCTTGGTGACGACAATATGTGCAAACTGTGTTGTTAAAGAATAACTAAGGGGGGGGGGGGGACTAAATAGACGCAGTTTATTCCAGCACCTCTTTCGTTTAAGTCAGAATGTATTTGTCATCTGCTTTATACAGGGGCCCAACTGCATATTTCAACGGGTGGGCTATGCAAGATTCGACTTTGGGCCCCCCTCCTTTGTCCCGACTCGCTTTTACTGAAATAGCTATGGATGGTTTTTAACCCATATACAATATGTAGTCTATAACTATATATATTATTTTTGTTGCACCGTATATTGAGTTTAGACCTAAGAGAGTCTCACGGTGACGATAACTGACATGCACTTTCATGCGCATGTTAGCAAAAAATGCTGGTGATGTTCAGTCATCAACACCGGCAGTAGCGCTACTATATTTTACGCTGTGTGTATTTTTATGAAATCTTTTTTTTCTTTGTCAACATTTTTGGCATTTATGGTTAATTGTTGGATTAAATTTTTTTTTTAAACAACTGTTACTTGTTTATCTGTTAATTCGGGGCCTCCTTGTGGCCGACTGGGCCCCCTATGTGTAGCATAATGCTACTGCATACCGCCCCCCCATAGTTGCACGCCTGGATGTATCGCTGCTGTGTTTATGTACAAGTAGCTCTGCATGTGATGCGACTCTAGAAATATTTGAGTCAAGGACAAAAAAAAAATTGCTCTTCTCCTTTTAAAGGTTGCCGACCTCTGGGTCAGGTCGTGTAAACGTGTACACCCTCCACCACGCGACCAGGCCAATGAATAACAGTGACACGTGACTCAAGAGTGCCAAATGTGTGACCGCTTCAGCACACCCGGTGTTTTGGAGAGTAATGTTATGGTTTAAATTGGGTGCGAGGTTTTCCCTGGAGACTACATCCGGCACTGTGTGGAGGGTGAGATGGGTGTGTGTCTGGTTATAGCTATGACAATAGCTATTACACTGCTATTTTCTGACACATCGACTACTAAACGCCTTGCTAATGTAACCGGTGTGAGCTTACCTGTGATGAATCGCACGCGTAATTGTGCACTCTGCTACGTGTTGCTGAAATTGCTACGGAGAGCCAGGTGCGTTTTTTTATATATAAGTGTGTCAGCGAGTGGCGAATGCTGTCTGCTGAGTCTCAGGAGAGTGGTGTGTCCAGTGTCAGCAGCGTAGTGTCTGGTGAGTGTCTACCGGGTGGTGAGGTATCAGATGTGTTTGGTCAGGGGCCAGGTGGATGACTGGTGAGTGACGTCGTGGGCATTGGTGAGTGGTATCTGGGTGAGGGTCAGATGTCACAGGTGAGTGTCTGGTGGCTGGGTGACTGGCAGCGGTGTGGGGTGAGTGGTGAGGCATCTGGTGAAATTGTCAGATGGTAAGTAGTGGCAGGTGTCTGGTTAGAGTGTTGAGAGTGGCCAACAGAGGAGGGTAGCGCCCGTGGCGGAGAAGCCGGTAAGGGGAGAAGAGGTGAGTGAAGGGGGCTGAACCGATGGGGAAGATTAGACAGACTGCCCTCTGGTTGTTAATATAGTTAGACACACAAACAAGTGTCATTTTTGTTTGTTCGTTATTTCTACATGCAGTTATTTGTTTGATTTAAGAATGATTACGGTAGTTAAGATTCGAACATTTTGGTGGAATTTATATTTTATTCTGAGGTATGTTTCTGAACAAATGATAAACGTGATTCCATATTCAGGTCTGAACGAGCTGATACGGGGGGGGGGGGGGGGTTATTGAGCAATGTGGTGTTCTGTGTCGTGTGTATGGGTGTATGTTGAACTTCTTTCGCAACGCAGGTAGCCAACCGAGCTAATCGGAGGTGCGGAGGCTGATGCAGTGTATCAGGTCGCTATTGCTAAGAGACACAAATGCTCTCTGAAAGGAGGTCAATTTTGAAAGAAAAAAAACATTGCCATCACAATGGCCCACCCGCGTCCTCTAGTTTGTGAAGCTGTCCAGCCATTTCAAGCAGCCTCGGTCTCACGGAAGTGACCCCCCCCCCCCCCACTTCGTCACACGACATCACAAAAAGTCAGACCCCCCCCCCCTCAAATATGACCTCACAAAGCTCTGCCCCCCCCCCCCCACAATAAAACACGCTTCAAATCGCTTTAAACTATTGTCATTGTAGTGCGTATTTAATGTGGCGTTGCACTCTGATGTTGTAGGAGAAAACATTAATTAAAAAGTCTATTTAATTAAGTAGAACGTATTGTCTATATTTTTTTAAAGTTGCGCATTGTGATGTGACTTCACATTTCTCACCCCACCCCCGTCGTCACACATCGTCACAAATGTCTGATCCCCCCCCCCCCCAGGTGCGTGACCTCATTTATGGACGGCCCCTAACATCAAGTATGTGCGTGTGTTATTTTTAAGCCAACCTATTTTTACAATCACGGCAAAAGAGATATAGGACCGATCACATGCCACAGGGCATGTTGCGAGGCACGCCTATACATTTGTAATGAGCGACTTCCGTGACACGTCGTGTAGAGGGGACTTCTTCTTTTAGTCTTACACGGGCACAACACAGGCCAACCTTATCTCTCACTCTGAGTACAACACTGGGTGCTAGCGTCTCTACAGGCTACACACACACACAGCCGATCACTCGGCGTGGTTCCACCGTCTGCACTCGGCCACGCCGCTGGCTGGTGGCGTGCCGGGGAGGGTGATGGAAGCCACAGGAGATCTTCCACGTGGCCGGACGACAAAGAGAGATGACGGCGAGCAGAGACGCAGTCCGGACCCAAGACTCCACACACGAACCCCGAGTTCTCCTCCGTCCCCGCTTATATCTCCCCAGACGCGGCTCGGCTCCGCCTCTGGCCACGCCCTATCATGGAACCTTCGAGAAGGTTCCCGGAGCATCTCGGCCAACCCCGCCCATTACTTTTCCCCCAGGTACCTCTCCCTTTCAGATTGGATGTTGTTTTAGCGGTGCCTGTAGCCGTGCTTCCCTTTTCTAACCAGCAGATGTCATGTCATTACCATTAACTGTGATCATTCGGCGTCGTGAAACTAAGAACTTACATAAAGAGGGTCAAATCAGTTCACTAGGTTCTCAGATTATCAAGCATAGAAAAAAATATTCGGACGTTTGATTTTCCTTCGTGTGCCCGAGTGGCTTTTTATACGTACACGCTAATTGCAGATTGATTATTAGTCATGTGTTGTTCACCAGATAATACTACGCGCTGTATGATTCAGTGGACGTTAAGGATTCCCTGACATCATTCGAAACGAGTCACAGATCATCGCAAGTTTAACCAAATTCGACAAAAAATGTACCCACAAATTATCGAAATGTGATGACACGTAGCAACATTATCCACATAGTCTGAAACGTCCGCACACTACACCTGTCAAACGTTAGCGCCTTTCTTCACGATGATAACCTTGCACTATGAGAATTGCGACAAAAATACCAAAAAAGCACAAAATTACTATTATTACGCGTGTTCCAAGTGGTACGTGCATGTGATGAATGTTGTACAAGTACAGTAGTTGTCCCATTTTAAGTATACTTCTTTGTTGCAAAGGACAGGCTGGACTGCACGAATGATCACTCAGGATTGTCACTTTTCTGGTTTTCATCTGAACAGTTTGGAATTTTTGGAATGAATAAAAAAAGGTGATTCATAGCCTTAGGACAAAAGAGAATTAGCATTTTATCTAGCCTAGCCAGCTCAATGCTCCAAATAGCTCTCCCCTCGCGCGCTCCGTCCACACTAAAATTCTTTAAGCAAGAAAGTTGAATGTTTTTATGTTTTAGACGCCTTTATGAAAATGAGTGTGATTTTGCGGGAAATGATGTAGTGACATCCAATCTCTCACGAACGAAAAAACTTTAATACAAAAAAATTGACATTATCGAAAGCATTGGTAAACATAGAAGATAAGGAAATAAGCACTCACTAAGTCTATGTACAGCAACAGTACAGGGTGGTTCAGATGTCTTGTGACCCCCCCCCCCTTACCCCCCAATTATTTGACCTTTAACTTTTTTTCCTTTGCTTATTAATTTGTGTGTTCATACCCTTTGGAACGTGTACAAAAATACAGTGTTACTTCAATTTAACACGTCACCATTCGCGAACAATATTTTCCATAATATATGTTGTTTTTGGTTAGATAGCCATTGTTATTTATATGAATTAACGTCCCCCTCTGGTCCTCGCACCTGTTTGGCTCACAAGTGACGACGTCGCATTTATCCCTCTAGTAACCGAAACAGGAGGAGGATTTCTCCACAACTCTGGCTGTTGCCTGATGAGGCTGGTTGCAATTACCGACGAAATGTCGTACTCGAATTGTAAATGTTGTGACAAATCTTAATTGTTGTTATGTGGAAAACTTCACTAGTTGGCTGTGTTGGGTGGTGGTGGGTTTAACGACGCATTCTTATTTACGCGATCTAACCCCCCAAAACACTCTATGGACAGGATTACGTTTTAGAGAATTAAACGGTGGTCACACGACATCTGGAGCACCCAGTAGAATAAGCTTCCACCCCCCCCCCCCCAACCTCAAAAAGTGGATTAGAGACACAAAAGCACGAATGGACAAATGTAATGGAGAAACGATTAGCTATATAAATGATCTGGCGTGCAGGGTGGCGCAGTAGTAGCATCTGCGCCACATAGCAGGACGTTACCTTGATTCAATTCCCGACCAGGGGACATCTTTCTGTGTGTGTAGTTTGCATGTTCGCTCTCTAAAACTAAACAATTTATTTTATTTTACACCAGGTAAAGGCCCACTGAGCTATGTAGCTCTTTTTCAGAAGCGACCTGGCCACAAATGATAGCTCAACGAATTGGCTTATCGTGTGGAAATGTATAGCAGCCAAATACTCTAAACGCACGTTTATTCTAAATGTGGAGGGAAAAACTGGAGGAACTGGAGGACCCGGAGAAAAAATCCGCGCGACTACGGGGAGAGGGATATGCAAACTCCAAATATACAGCAGGCATCAGGATCGGGATTGAACGCACAACCTCATGTATACCAGGCGTAGCTAAAACACAATGTACTGACATTGGCCAAAGCATCCCAATACTGAAAAAGTACATGTGCAAATGACTCGATAGTGATTACACACAGCATCAGTAACAACAACGCCCCACTACTGCGACAACGCATTTCGCTACCATCAGGAGCATAAACCATCATCACGAAAACTCCGGCCATCCCCGCGGCGGCTTATGGCTGGCCATCGAACAACGACGGTCAGCGCATCACGGCGCTTTCAGATGCGCTTCTGCGGCCGTCTGGAATGCTCTTCCTTCCGATATCGATAAGCCACTGGGACACTGCACTTTTAAATCTAGCTTGAAAAAAATTACTTTAACAAGATTTTTTGTGTTTAATTGTCCTTCCATCACACTTCCGATTAGCGCGGTTGGGCTATGTACGGTGCAAAAAAAGTTCAACATACACATAGTATAAGAGGTAAAATGGCAAACCTGTAATTATTTGGAAACGCCATTGCTGCCAAAAAGGCTTCACTAGAGGAAGCTCTAGAGATCACCCCCTCTGGAGAGGTACATTGGCCTACTCTTCCACGCTGAACAAGACGTCTTGAAAAAGGTGGGAATACGCACAATTTATGCAAATCACACGCGACATTTGCACTGCTGGGTGGACAGAAGCGAGGGGGTGTTTAAGTAGATGACACGTTCAATTGCCGCGCCGTGAGATCGAACCGGCCACCTCTGGATTGCAAGTTTAGAGTTGCTTTCCCAACTACACCGCGGCAAAAGATCAGCACGGTTGTCTACATACGCTGCGAAGTAAGTTCAACGTACACACGCACGTTATAATTTATTCACATCAAACACCGCGCAGCCGCTTAGAGGATTTTACATTCACAAAGCGACGACAGCAGATTATTGAATCAAATGGCAACCCCTGAATCATGACAATTCATAGCGTCTGTGGGGAGGACGATTGCGTTACGTGCCTAACTGAGCAAGTGAAATCATATGCATGCATGTATGTGTGGATTGATTGAAAACTTACAGCGTCAGATGGTGGCAGCGGTGGTGGTGGTGGCAGAAACGATGCGTGGCCAGATGCTTAAAAGACATCTCACTCTGGGCGCATCGCTCTTAAATCCTCTTTTTTGGTCGACCCCTCCCACACGACCAGTGCCACGTATGCGTATACCACGACATGAATGAAGGTAAGTGAACACCTGAACGACTGGAAGAGTGGCTGCAGAGCAATGCTTCTGATGTGCACCGTTTGCATTTCTGCAACACTTGTGGAATTCGAGGTTGGGCTTGGTACATGCAATTAAGACTCAGTGGTTCTTAACATGGCCTGCACGCACCCCCTGGGGGTGCGAGATGCCCTTTCTGGGGGTGTGAGACATGGGCAGATTTTTTTTAAAAAGGTAAATAATCGAAAACACTAAGCACGGCACGCAAGTCCAACTTCTTTGTTTCATCAAACCTATGTATTTATTAACATAATTATTTGTATGATTGAGAACCAAAGGGATGCAAGGCTGCAGTAAAGGTTAAGAATCACCACTGCACTAAGATTATTATCTACTCTGAAGCTCCCACCCAGCCCGTTGGCAATGCAACCGTGCATAGTTATCAACAACAACAAAGCTGACCATTAGTAGAAGTATTTTTTAAGAAGTTAGCTGCATAGGCTAGAGATATATCTGTCACAATTAAACTTTTAATTTTATTTTACCAGGTAAGGTCCACTGAGCTTTACATCTTTTTTTTCAGAAGTGACCTGGCCAAAAATGATCGCTCAACGAAGTGGCTTATCAAGTGGAAATATATAGCAGCCAAATACTCTAAACGCAGGTTGATTCTAAATGTGGAGGGGAAAACCGGAGGACCTGGAGAAAAAATCCACACGATCACGGGGAGAGAGAGACATGCAAACTCCAAATATATTGGCGTAAAGTTCGGGATTGAACCACGACTTCCTGTATGCCAGGCGAGGTAGTTAACATCTCACCACTGTGGCGCCCTGTAAGGATGACAGGCTGCTAATGAACACATGTCTGCAAAGTTGCAGGAGTTTTACACCAGTCAATCGTTTTGTGCAAAAAATGTAAAATCTACCTTTCGTAGTTTTACAGGTTTGTTTTGATATTTGACGGGAATGTTGCGTTCTCATTTACAATTAAAATCTGCTAATTGATGGGGGGGGGGGGGGTTCTTAGTATATAAGATGGACAGCACCTCCACAATGAATACGATTGCATTGTGCAAACTTACGAAATCCTATTACTAAATATTTAAGTTAACAACAAAGTACTCTAAAGCAGTGATTTGCAACCGCTGCGCCGCGGCAAGGTCCTATGTGTACCGCGGTATTTTAGAATTGATCAACAAATGAAATAAAACATAATTGACAGGCAAACACATAGACACACGGACATCAACGTAAAACAATTGTATCGACAGACACACACACATGTAAATGAACACAGACAGACAAAGAAATAATCCAAATCAAACGTTGAAATGGACGAACAGACACGGCCATCCTAACAATCATTGATGCAACGCACAGACAAGACAAAAATCTTCCGTATAGCCTTAACCGACTGTTGGGGCAAGTGCTGTTAGCGAGTAAAACCTATGAAGGCCGGCACGGCACACGAGTGGGTGTTTGGCCAACACCACGCCCGGCCGCCTTTCTCTCTCCAGTGGCTCATGTTTATACAGCACACTAGGCACTCATTGAGTCGACCTAGGGGAGGCCCAGGACCGGTTTATATAATTGTCATTTGTATTGGCCGTGAATCGAACTTGGGTCGCCCCGGGTTGGTATCGCAGCACGCTAGCCACTACGCCATCACTCCCCAAACGCTCGCACAACAGCAACAACAACACTCGCCATTCGCCACTGTGCCAGGCCAGGTGCACTTTGAGGCCACGTGAAGTGTCGAAGGCTTGCCGACAGGCGGTCACAGGACAGACCCAGGTGCCATGGGTTGAAAGACTGAGATGACTGGCAAATGCACCAGCTGTACCTCCTACAGTCCTAACTTGCTGCGACTGTCTCCAGCTGACCAGTAGCATCCTTCACGCGCCTCTTCCATAGAGGCATATCTTGACATCGCTGGGACCAGTCTTCGGCAAGTCCACTCAGTTCCACATCCAGCCCGTGCCGCGCCCGTTTATCCCCCTCTATCTGGTCAAACAGAAACTGCTTGGGCATGCAGTGGCTGGGCATGTGGGCGACATGACCCATCTTACGCAGCCTTACCTGCCGGGGAAGCTCACTGATGGAAAAGTGTCCAGATCTTTCTAGGATTTGTGAGTTCCTCACACAACGCAGCCTGGTTAAACCCAGGATGGATCGCAGGCAGGCCAGCCTAAATGTTTCTAACTGTCGCAGAAATGTAGGCATTCTGGAATTCCCTACAGCTCTGGGGTAGCAGTCGTACATAGAATATGGCATCCACATATTATATGTATGAGCTCTCAATACTCTGCTATTGCACTGTGTTTGAGTTGTACGCCTTCTGCTGGTGTCATCTGGTCCAACACCAATGGGGACTAGGCGCTAAAGAAAGCCGTCTCGGGTGTGGACCAATCAACTTCAAGGACAGTGCATATTATTATCATTATCAGAGTTGCTTCTTTTTGTTTGCTTTTTTGACTTCTTGTGTTGTGGTCATTGCAAACATGATGCCTTGAATAAAGGTGTCAGTTTTGTACCAGTTTAAAAGGGTAAAAACCGACTACTACAATATGGCATCCGTAAAGGACCGCCCTGGTCTGGAACCACATTGGGGCTCCGCAAGCCTCTCTCGGCGTGCCTGGAAAAGCGATGTTGAATAATCCTTGCCAGGACCTTTCCCAGCACACTGAGGAGAGAGATGCCCCTGTAGTTAAAATCTGTCCGGTCCCCCTTCTTAAAGAGGGGGACCACCAGGACATTCTTCCAATCCTGCGGAACCTGTCTTGGCATCCAGACAGATCTGAAGATGCCATGTAGGGCAGTCTGCACACAGACGCCACCCACCCTCAGCATTTCTCTTGAGAGATCATCTCTGCCCGGCGCTTTTATTGGTGTCAGACTACGGATCGCCCCTCGTACTCCCTCCACAGATGGTACCTCAGCCAACCACTCAGAAGCGGTGGCTGCTTCTAGCAACATTTGAGGCTCCATAGCTAGAGCAGGGACGACCCTACCTTGCCCCATGATGTCTGGGCTGAGGGAATTAGCCTCTTTTAAGACTTCATAAAAATGCTCTGCAAACCTGCAGACCAGTTCCTTGCGGTTGGAAATCGGATGACTGTTCTTTCCTTTAGGGAATGTGATAGATGAGGCACTGCAAGTTACTTTTTTAATGGCATTAGAGTGATTTGCGATTGCGAGCTACTGAGGCAGATGCCATCTCCTCAGCAAAGCACACTCATCCGTGCAGCTTTGTACAGCTCTCCGAACCTCCGAGTTAAGGCTGCAGTGAGCCTCATCATTCTCCGATGTTGGCTGTTGTAGAAAACGAGTGTGGGCCTGTCGTTTTTTCTCAACCATCCTCCTTCAGCCAGGGTATCTGTGGAGGTCTGGACCGCATACCCAATGCAGCTATTGCAGCTCCATGAACCACATTCCTGAACCTCACTTTCAGCATTAGGAGGAAGGGTCAATACCTACTCTAGCTGCAACCGATGTTGAAATTCCTGCTGGTAACTATTCTCGGCTAGCTAAGACCAGGCTAATTTGGGTTTGAAGGGGGTTCCCAGATGGACACCCACAACTTGAGTGGAAGAATGGCAGGCACATCTTACAGATGATAAGCCGATGGTCAGAGGGCAGATAAGCTCCACGGTAGGTGCTGGTGTCAAGGACATAGGCCCGCATCTGCTGGTCTTTCACTATTTAGTACAGATGTTCTTGCTTGGACCAGGCGTGAGCCATGATGCTGTGTATATGTGCCAATGCCGGAACAGCATGTAGGTAAATTACAAGCCCATGGGCTGCACAGAAGTCTAGCAGCCTCCTGCTTTTATTATTGAGCTGATTTGGCCTATGCCTTCCAATCACTCTGATCCAGGTGGTGGTAGTGGTTGCTTACGTTCCCACCGAAGATGAACATCAGTAGAGCGATGCAAACAAAGCCGATGAGTTAATCGTCTTGTATAACCTCCTGTCCCAGGTGCTAGAATAAGTGTTCCCTCAGGATAGAGTCATCCTGTTGGTTAAATGTAATGCACGAGTCATGATGCATCCTGTGTTTCAGATAGTTATGATCATGTCATGTAGGGCAGTCTGCAAACAAATGCCGCCCTTCCTCAGAATTTCGCTCAGGGCACACACACACACAACGATCCCCCGCATAGATTTAACAGACTGTTGGGGCAAGTGCTGTTTGCGAGCACCTCTGAAGGCCGGCGCGGTACACGAGGAGGTGGGTGGCCAGCACCACGCCCGACCTCCTTTGTCTCCTTAGTGGCGATGTTTTTACACACCAGGTACTTGTTTGAGACCGAGTTGACCCTAAAAGAGGCCCAAGACTGGTTCAGATAATCGCCACTGGTGTTGGACATGAGCGCGAATCGAACTCGGGTCGCCCGGTATTGGTAGCGCAGCGCATTTACCGTTACACTACCTTCACACACACATGCGTGCGCGTACACTTACTGACACCCATAACACACACCTCCCGCACGTGTCCCAGGCCAGTGTTTTTAGATAATTGGTGTGAGCCAGGGTGCCCCCCGGGTGAGTCGTCAAGCCTCAAGCGTCACGCGTCCCCTGTTCAAACAAACTCATCGCGACATGGCCTGGAAGGAGGAGAGACCACGCTGTGACCGAGGAGGGGGAAAAACAGCAATACACAAGGCGATTGTCGAAATTCCACGTTTCCATGATGGCACCCTATCCGTCCGTATAAGGCGTGTAACTTGAGAAAGAGATGCACGTGCGCGCGTGCACACATGCACACACATCCATCATCAGCCATGATCAATCCACTGCTGGATGAAGGGCTCTCTGTGGGTTGCTATTTTTTTTTATATTGGAGAAAGAGGAGTTAGAATCCATTTTCTCCCCCATGTAACGGCAGTCTCAGGAATTTTGTTTGCGCTTACAATTTCGCTCTGTGAGACTTACGGCAGCGGCAGTCTCAGAACTTGGTTGGCGCTTCGAAATTCGCTCTGATTGT